GAAAATGAAAATGAAAATGAAATAAAACAGTTTAAAACAAAATAAAATAAAATAAAAAAAATTTCAAAAAGAAAGGTGGTGGGATTTTAATTAAATGTCTTAAATGAAATGGAATACAGGTAATTCTTGATTTACAACTATACTTGGGCCGAGCATTATGATTAAGTTGTGGGGGTTGTTAAGCAGCCCACTATGAGACCACATCCAAATTTTATTAGATTTGTGGCAGTTGTTCAGTGAATGGTGTGGGTGTGAAGCAAACACGACAGTCATTAAGGATATTGGCTGAACCCATTTTTACCAATAGCCATTTTCTTCCTGGAAGTAAATGCTGGAAATTCTCTCTCACTCACTCACACACACACACACACACACACACAGCCAAAAATCATGGTCTCAGGATTCTGCAAACAGACATAGTTGGTTGCTGAGTGCCAAAATGCAATCATGTGACCATGGCCAGGTGTGTGAGGATGGGTGGGTAGCCAGGATTGGGACGGGATTTCAATAGGTTTGGGGTATAATTAGAAATGCTGCTTCAATCTACAAAAGTCTTATCTAGTAGTTTATCTTCCAGGTATCTTCAGGACCACCTCTTCCAGGTGGAAGTAATCTAATCAGCATGCTTGCTTTCTTTATTTAGCACATGACAAAAATGTTAAAAAGCATATCACAATTACATTCTCAACCAGCAAATATGAAACTATTTACTCTTTTTAGTGTAGTTGCTGTTCCTGATGCACATCAGTTAAAAGGACAGAAGGCCTGTTGCTCTAGGCTACCTCTAAAGTCTAGGTGGCATCTACTTTGAGAACTTTCCAGAAAGTTACTAAATCAGGAACCTTTTAATTGTAATTTATTGCTATATCATGATTTTTTAAAAATCCTATTAATATGATTTCTTCTGGTTTTATTGACTGGATTGTATTATGATTTTGATTTATTTATGCTGTAAACTATCAGCTGATTCAAATCAGCAGTATATAAATATAATAAATAATACATACACACACATGCAGCTATTAAAGACCAAGACATGTGCAAAGTAATGCATATGTGTACATTTACAGTTTTTATCATCTGAAGGAAGGCAACAAGGACTTGTTAAATATCATAAAAACATCTTTGAAAAGGAAATGGTAGAGGTGATGTAGCAAAACAAATAACAGTCCAACATATCAATCCACAATATTATCTAGTCACGAAACACAAGCAGGCAAAGACCCATAATTCAAGAACATTCAACAGAGTCCTTCGGGATTGGCGGCCTATAAATTTATTAAATCAAATCAATTCATATACTATCCTTGTAGTTACTCAATATTATGTTGGGAATGCCATTTTTTTGACTGATTCATAGAGATACAAAAAATCAATTAAACTAGACTTTTAAAGTTTTATATACCCTGAAGCACCATAGAAATGAATGTGTTCAATGGTTCCACCACAAAACCGCGGTAGACAAAAGCGCGCTCGACGAAAGCGCGTACGTGACGTCATCACAGCGCGACAAAAACATCGCGCTGTGAGCGGTAAATTTAAAATTAAAGCGAAAACCTTACCCTAACCCCCCCAAACCTAACCCTAAACCTAACCCTAAACCTAACCCTTAACCTAACGCTAACCCTAACGCTTAACATAACCCTAAACCTAACCCTAACCCTTAACCTAACCCTAACCCTTACCTTTATGTGAATCGGCTTGCTTTAATTTAATTTTAATTTCAATTTAATTTATTTTTTTTTTTTTGTCGCCGCTGCTGATGACGTCAGGTACGCGCTTTCGTCGAGCGCGGTTTTGTCTACCGCGGTTTTGACGGGTCACGGTGTTCAATAAGTGCAAAGCTCCAAAAGGAGATTAAAATGAGATGTTATATCAGATTAAATTTATTCTTAAGGAAGGCAAACTGCATAATTATATTCTCCCTATTGTAGAAAACAGAAGAAGTTTAAGAATATCTTTAATTATAAATAGCAATAGCATTTAGATTTCTATACTGCTTCACAGGGTTTTATAGGCTTTTCTAAGCGGTTAATTTATTCTTAAGGAAGGCAAACTGCATAATTATATTCAGTCAGCATATTGCCCCCAACAACCTGGGTCCTCATTTTACTGACCTTGGAAGGATGGAAGGCTGAGTCAACCTTCAGAATAGAGCTGCTGAACTGCTTGCAGCTGTAACAACAGTAACAATAGCCTGCAGTACTGCATTCTAACCACTGTGTCACCATGGCTCTTATATAGGTATAAATCAGGGGTGAAATTCAGCAGGTTCTGGAGAACTGGTAATTTTGAGTAGCTCGGAGAACCGGCAAATACCACCTCTGGCTGGCCCCAGAGTGGGGTGGGAATGGGGATTTTGCAGTATCCTTCCCCTACCACGCCTACCAAGCCACGCCCACATAACCGTTAGTAAAAAAAATTGAAATTCACCACTGGTGTATGTATATATGTATATGTGTGTATTTATCAGCACAAATAAAACACACACACACACACACACATATATATACACACACACACACACACACACACACACACACATACATATATACATACATATACACACATACACACACACACACATATATACATACATACATACCTATGTATCAAAACATGCTGACCAGCATATATGAAACATTTTTGTCTAATAACATTAACTGGGTCGGATGCTATTATTTTTATATGTGATTCCAACACTGTATCCCTCTAGATCTAGATCTAAATAATATCCAAGTACAATATTGTATTAATCTGAAAGAAATGTTATGTACCAAGCTCAAACAATAATTAGGAGTATTCCAAGAATGAAATAAAACTTGGATCTCTGGGGAGGAATCAATTTGTGTTCTGTCTGTTTTGAGTATTGCAATTTAGTTGTTATTTGGAGGCTTGTGACAGGGCTACTATGCATCATATTTTGCCCAGGCTAAGCAGTACGATTTGTTGGCTTATACTGCACCTATTGATGAAGGAAAGAAGTTTTAAATATTGAGAAGACAGAAACAGTAAATCACACAGCCAAACAAAAGAAGGTTGATTATAGCTGCATCTTTTACCTCTTACACCTGCCTTACCACCCTTACCTTTTTAAGTTTGCTATGGTTGGTGGCCTCCTGTGTTGTATTGTGTTTCACTTTGTAGACATATAACACAATGCTGTATGTGTCAATACTAGTTTCAGTGAAACACAAATGTCACTAATGTTGCCGAGATAGTTATATTTTTAGTAAAATATTGGAACTGGTTGATTTCTTAAATGTATGTGCAAGTTATACTTTGTGTATGCATGTTTTCACATTGTCATAAAGTTATTAATCAAATGTGACTCATCTAAGCATCAGTAGTTATCTTATTTTCTGCAGCCTGCAACCATTCCCAGTGCCAGCAAAAATACTAGGAAAATAAAATTCAGTGGCTCTGTAGAGTTGAACTTGGCAAGAATGGTAAATAAAAAAATGAGAATGCAAACAAATCCAGTAATGCCTACAACATCAACCAAGACAATGGCTTCTTTGAAGAAAAGAAAAAATCAGAACATTAAAAAAAACCTTGTAGGTAAGATGTACTAACTGAAAAAAAAAAATTAAAATATTCATCTGGTTTTCTTAATCTGTAATCTGTTGGGTTCATTTAAGGACAATCATCCTCTTTTTTCTATTGGGTGGTACTGGTTGTAATAAGCATCTAATTTAGATTTTTCAGTGGAAAAAGAAGTTATATTTTCATAGCTAATTTTTAAATTTTCAGAAATTATTCAGCAGTAAGCAACATTCCGCATGGAGTATCATTGCTTGTGTGGCCCTGAGTAAAAATAGAAGAGCAACAATTGGTCCTGAGTTATCACTCTTTCTCATGGGAAAACCACTAAAATTTCAGAGTTGTTTTTCGAAAGGTACACTGAACAGTTAAGCAATTTTTGTTTCCACTAACATGCTACAGAAAAGTCTTTTGGTGTAACATTACAAGCAGGGGTGTTTTGTTCCAAGCTTGAAATTAAACATACATCAAACAAACTTCTATAATTCTACCCAAACCTCCTATTCGTGTTTTTTGTTTTCATATGAATGTTACTCTTTCAATCTCTTTAGAACTCTAATGGAAACTGAAACTTGCAGCTGGAACCCTAAACAAATAATGAATGTAGAATACTCACATGCCCCATCTTCATCATAGTTGCTAAGATCCGCATGGACAGTTCTACTGAATTCTAACACATTGTACCACTGATCTTTGTTAATTACTTTGTATTTTGACTGCTGCAGAAAAATAAGAAATGTTATCATTTGATATACTGTGCCATACATTACAAGTATTATATACTTTTAAAAGGTAACAGTCTACAGCGTATCAAGAAATGCTTGAAGAAAAAGTGAATTTAATCTAAATCTATTTAAAATAGATTTCCATTTTAAATTGCCAACTATCATTGCCGTTATTTTGAAAGAGCTATTTGGCAGAGAATAATATACTAAAAATGCATACATTTGTTCTGAAATACAAAAGGTGTATTGAAAATCAAAAATCATAAAAATTAAAAAGCATAAAAATTTGCAGAGGACAGTTAGCATATAATGTGTGAAGGTGGATTCTAATGCATTCCTACCTCCAAGTATTGGTAAAACACTGAAAACAGTGGCCATGTCCTTCCAAGAAGAAGTGCTAACATAGATTTCGCTGTGTCAATATCAAGACTTCGCTGGTCTTTATCCTATACAGGTTAAAAAAAGTGCAATTTAGAAAATGTATAAATGCACAATTAAATCATTATTTTCTTAGATGATTCACTTACCCTTGCAAAGTCAAATGCATATCTGTAGATATTCTTAAATGTTGAAATGTCATTCAGTTGGGATCGCAAAAAATCAAATTTACTTTGAAGCTTTTCTGTACCGTCACATCTTAAATTAAAAAGTAAAATAGTTATATGTCAAATATTTGGGCAAAGGAAATGTGTGTAGGTATGATTGAATATACTGGTTATTAGACTCCTGGGATCTCAAGCCCGTGACCCCCAAGTCATTTTCTACAGCCTACAATGTCTCTAATTTTATCTTATCTGCTTGTACATTAAATCAGAAATTCTCTATTGTTTAGTGCATTTCAACATATTATTTCTGAATTTTGAGCACTTCTCAAAAGACAAAATGAAAATGAAAGGAATAAAATCTCCAATTTTGATCTGGATTTTATGTACTGCATTAGATGTGTGGCTAACTTGGGATAGGGCTAAGGTTTTTTTAAATTTAACAAATTTATGTTTAATGGAAGTCTGTGATACTCTTAGTTTTTTACTTTTTTGTCTCAACAGACCCTTTTGCTTTAGTGTATGAGAAGGCTTTAGTATTCAGGCCCCGCTTTCTGTCTTTTTTCAGATTCAGGGAAATATTAATTAATCCAATACAGAAAATGGGAGCATTTTCCCATGTATGTAATCATTCTCCCTTTCTGTTTATTAAAATTGGCAATTTAATGGTAGCTTTTAGAGGAGATCTGAAGGTTACATCCAAGACATGGGGGGAGGGGTAACTCAATTAAAAATGTACAAGGCATAATTTCTTAAAATAAAAAATAAAGTTGTTTCAAAAATTCAAATGCTTTCATTGTATAAATGAATACCTTGAGAATAAACTTGGGAAACTGCTCTATTCAGAACAGCATAACAAGTACAAGAGCTTCATGATCCCAGTATCTAGACAGAAATGGCTAATGGATTCTACCCTGCAGCCTTCAGTATCCTAAGTTAACTGTAACACCAACAATAAAAGATACTCTTGCTTCAACTGATGAGGTTACCCAGTTAGGATAATGAAACGTCTGCAAGAAAACAAATGAGCTCAGAGAGCACCAAGGACCCCTCATTTCAACCCTGCTACAAACATTCGCCTTTATACGCAATTTGGGAGTCCTCCTGGACCCACAGCTGATGTTAGAACATTACTTGTCGGCTGTGACCAGGGGAGCCTTTGCCCAGGTTCGCCTGGTGCACCAGTTGCGACCCTATCTGGACTGGGAGGCCCTTTGGATGGTCACTCACGCCCTCGTCACCTCAAGACTGGATTACTGTAACGCGCTCTACATGGGGCTGCCTTTGAAGAGTGTTCGAAGACTTCAGTTAGTCCAGAATGCAGCCGTGCGAGCGATAGTGTGGGTACCTAGGTACACCCACGTTACACCTGTCCTCCGCGAGCTGCACTGGCTTCCTATTGGTCTCCGGACACGTTTCAAGGTGCTAGTCGTTACTTTTAAAGCCCTACATGGTTTAGGACCTGGCTACCTGAGAGACCGCCTCCTGCCATTTACCTCCCAGAGACCTATAAGATCGCACAGATTAGGCCTCCTCCGGATTCCATCTGCCGGTCAATGTTGGCTGGCGACTCCCCGGGGGAGAGCCTTCTCTGTAGCTGCTCCGGCCCTATGGAATGATCTCCCTGTGGAGATCCGTACCCTTACAACTCTCCCGGCCTTCCACAAAGCGATTAAGACCTGGCTGTTCCAGCAGGCCTGGGGCTGTTGATTTATCCAGCCCCACTTTAAGTTATATGAATGTTGTGCGATTTTAATTGTCTGTTCTTTTTAATTTTTATATGTTCCCCCTCCCTACTTTATCTGTAAGCCGCCCTGAGTCTCTCGAGAGTGGGCGGCATACAAATCCTAATAAATGTAAATGTAAATGTTATAGATATGAATATGATGTGACTATTCACAGCTCACCACTTTGTTTTAGAATTTTGAAGCTAATTTGGTTCTATTTCTGTCTCTTCTTTCTTTTTTGGTTGGAAAATACCCAGCCAAGCGGGGGAGGAGGGGGAGATCAAGAACAAATTTGGCTTCAGATTGAACTCGATCCAGATCCCCAGAACCTTCAGACACTGGGACAGAACCAGAGACAGTGTCACTTGGACAACCCGGGGCCAAGATATATAACTGAGTGTACTGATGATACTGCACTCCATGCTGATGGATGACCTTCCCCAGGAGCTCCATATAGATGTTCAAAAGGAAAGGGGAGAGTTACATCATAAAATAGGGTCTCAGAATACTCTCCCACTATAATACTAACTAAAACTGGATTTAAATGAAGGAGAATCACCATTAGAGAATGTCTGTCCCTCCCACTACACTGGTGCAGGAGGTTATCATGGTCATTGTGTGACAGATCAAGATCAAGATCAAGAAAGGCTACAATTGATGCATTACCCCATCCTAAAGCTGACAGCAACATGACCCATTGGGTCATCACTTCAGAGCTACTTCCTTATCTAAACAGAGAAACAGAATGATCAAGGACAAAAAAGCAGTGGAAGCATGAGCATGGCCCTCTCACAGAGAATGGTGCAAGAGGGCTTACCTGCCTCCGTGGCTTCCAGAGTTCTGGACTGGGAATGGTCTACTGAATTTCTGGCTAGCAGCATGGCAGCACTATAGTGACCACAAATTTGCCAAATTTCAATCCCACAGAAGTCATAGATCCAGGATTTTGGATGCCTTCTCTAAATTAACCCGTTTGAAGTATCTTGGTTCAAATATTATTGCCCTACGATGTACTTTTTTACTCAGGTTACAGACAGGATAATTTTAGTAGTATACAGTGGCAGAAAGGCTAATCATTCACAGAATCACATTTGAACTGTTCTGAGAATTCAGCAGAAGCAAATTGATTTTGACCACAGGGAAACACCTGATTGGGCTATGCAGATTCGAGCATAAAATGTTCTTTGGTGTACACAAAGAGGCTCACACAGTCTCTGCCTATATGTCTTTAAATAAATGGTGTTCTTTGGTGATAGCATCATTACCTGCTCAAAGGAGTTGCACAAAGGTACTGTATGAACATCTCGACGGATGCTCTGAAGCATCTTTCTGTGCTCAAATCTGAAGCACTGCACAGCTCAAGAACATGAGCCGTCACAAACTAGTATCTTCAGATTAAATTGAAAGATGTAACATAGACGCAAAGTTAATCATATTTGCAGTACTTTGTTAAATGAAAATGTGCATATGTATCAAAATATTTTGACATATCAAAGAGAACTTAAAATAGAAGTTCTTACTGTAATGAGGTCATTCCCTTTAGCCACTCTTCTTTTGTAAAAAAACCCATGCTTTCAGCCTCTAGTTTCCAGGCTAAAACTAGCATAATAATCTGTAAAGGAATAAAGGAATAAAAGTGGGCTCAGAGAGGAAAAAAAACCCCAAAATTTACAAGAAACATTTTTTTAAAAACAGTGGTTGGTCGCAAAAGTTGTTCATCAGTCCAAATTGCTACTTTTTTCAAATGTGTCGGGACTACAACTCTCAGAACCTTGCTGACAACTAAATTTCCATTTCTATTTACTTTATTAGTTTATTTACTTAATCCAGTTTGTACATCGCTTGGCTCCCAATGACTGTGGATGGTTCACAAAAAATATGTAAAAGTATAAAACAATAAAAATACAACAAAAGTAGAAGTTGGCAAAACCAGGCAGCCGCAAACACACACACACTTCTTGAATGGAACTACACTCATCTTAAGCAAAAGGCTGGGCAGGAGACAGGTCTTCAAGGCCTCCCAAATGCAAGAAGAGGATAGCTTCATCTGAAGCCTCTATAAGAAATTATAGCAAAACCTTTCCTGCTCTGCCCTCCATAGCATTAAAATGTTCTCCCTAATTGCTTGTTGCAGGAAAGCCATCACTGCAGGAAGTGCCTGATCCTACCTTTTGAAAACCTTTTCAGACTATCTCCATTGTTTTAGAATGTCATACCCTCAGAAATGCACCAGAGATGCACCACACACTGTCCTTTTGGAGTTATCAAAACAATTCATCAAAGCAAATAAAATGCTACAAATACTTTTGGTGCCAACAAAGCAATATTATTGATTGATACCAATCGATAGTAGGTTTTGGGTGGCCAACATTATTATTTTTTGTTCCCCGATGGTGTACTGCTTTTGATTTTTATCTGGTGCTTGGAGAGCTATTAAAGATCTTTTCCTATAATTGTAAGAAAGCCTCCACTTAACCTTGCAACGTTAAAATGATCAAAAATGTGCCCTGGACTAGGCAGTTGCAGTAGCTGCAACTCTTTAAAATACCTGCATCTTTTTTTAGGGTCATGCAGCTGCTCACTATACCAGAATCCCAAGGAAAGGTATACCTTTGCATACTCTTAACTTTGGAAGAAAATATAAAAACATAGGGGTATTATACAGGAAGTAGTTTCAGCACTTTAAGATCTGCCCATGCCCAAATGTATTAAGAAATTGATTCCAGTTGTAAAATTGAAATAGTTAAAAAAAACCACAACTTTTTAAAGTTTGTAATTTGCTAATTTGTGACAGTAAAATTAAGAAAGAGCAGAAAACACAATGTAACCAAATAATGGACAATACTTTAAAAACTTATATTAGCTATTTTGTGGCTTACATTTTCAGGTTCAACACCAATATCTTCACAGAATTTTTCCATTCCTTCAGGTCCTACAACTTCATCATCACCTTCAAAAGAAAAAAAGGCATATACTATATGAATTTATACTTGCCTCACTCAATGGCCTATCATAGCCAAAGCTGGAGTAAGATGGGAAAAAACAGAGAAAAGCAGCAGACTGTACTCATGAGTCATTTCAGAGTTGCATACAGTTTCCTAATTACACCATATTCCATATTCCAGAAGTTTTACTGAGATCAGTTTCTGCCATCCAATGTTCAGTTCCAGTTTTGAATGATTAATTTGCATTACAAAAGAACACATAAGGTATGCTCATACACATATGTGTGCATTTGAAGCAGACTCTAGATTTGCCCATCTCTCTATAATAGGAGACGTATGATGTTCATACAATTATAAAGAATGACTGATATCATTTAAGGATTTCAGCATCAGATTAGTATTTTTTCTATGAATATACAAAGATGGAAAAATCTAAAGGGTTTTTGCAGTGTATCTGTTTATGTAACAAGTACTCATTCATTTTGCAAACAAAATATTTTTTAAAAATTGCAGTTCATAGTGCTACTGAATATATCTTTCTCTTCTCTAACAAATCCAGGTTTCTGCAGCGTTACATTTTTCTGAGATAAAGAATGTTTTTCTGGTGTGACTTTGTATTCCTGCTGTCCTGGATAAATAAATAATAATCTCATGCCACTGGACCTTAATGGGTTTAATTTTGACCAGTCACTGTTCCTCAACCCAACTTGCTTTTCTGAGAGGATGAAATGCTTTGAATCCATGTTTATGTGAAGAAAAACATAAAAAAAGGAAGACATGTATTTTGGCTTCATAAAAATAAATTATTCCTCTGTTTTACCTAGGCTGATGAAGACGCTCTATGTACTAAACTACAGTTTGCTCAAATGAGGTTTGTTGAATAAGCAACACTTAGTGTGGATCATATATTTCGTTAAGCCATAAACCTTAGTTTTCAAGCTTCCATGGATAGATTTATACCATTCACCTACCCAGAGCCAAACAAATCAGAATATTCACCTTAAAAATTATAATATAGCTCAATATGTGAACAGAATTTCACACCTGAGAAATTCCTGTGCATGTTCATTTCTCTAACCCGAGAACACTCTTTCTTTTAAAATACAAGTACTCCTCGACTTACAACAGTTCATTTAGTGACCGTTCAATTACAACAGCACTGAAAAAAGTGACTTATGACTGTGTTCAACACTTACAACTGTTGCAGTATCCCCATAGTCACGTGATCCAAATTCAGATGCTCGGAAACTGATTCACATTTATGATGGTTGCAGTTTCCTGGGGTCATATGATCACTTTTTGTGACCTTCTTAGAAGCAAAGTCAATGGGAAAGCCAGATTCACTTAACAACCGTGTTACTAACTTGACAACTGCAGTGATTCACTTAACAACCGAGGCACGAAAGATTGTAAAATGAGGCAAAATTTACTTAACAAATGTTTCACTTAGCAACAAAAATTTGGGGCTCAATTGTGGTCGTAAGTCAAGGACTACCTATAGTGTGGTGACACCAGTCACATTATATTTGAACATTTTTAAACAAATGGTTAGTTTCACATTAAAGAGGATTTAAGCAGAGCGCAGTCTTAGTATTACTAAGCACCAGTAATTGCATTAACCATTCATTAGTTACATACCTGCATATTCATAAAACCAAGCCAGGCACTTCTTGCTTGAAAAATGCTCCTCACCACTTATCACTTTATTGGAAGCTGCCGACCTGCAATAACTTAAATACATATTAAAAAAGATGTTGGTAAACTTGCTATTACTTCAAAAAATCCTCAATTATGGCTTATTAATAGATAACATCTAGAAAATACTTAAATTTACAGCTTTAATTTATTACTTTTTACATATTTTCTAGGAAACAAACCATACTTTCTTTCGAAGTACAAAAGTGATGTCTTTTTTTTCTTTTCTGGATATTCTCACAACTCATTTTAAAGTTTAAAGAATTAACAAGCTATGCAAGAGACTGATTTAGTTGTTTTATTCTGTCAATAAGTTTTTTTAATCACTAATTTGCAAAACATCTTGACATTATAATATACATTTATAATTCAGAAACAAAGGCCCCTTACAAAAATCTTTAACATAAGTTTCAATAACTTTTGCATGGAACAAATGGATTCCACTTATAGTAGATGATCCTAAAGGTAACAGTGGCCCAAGTCAAGCCACATAGGCTTTTCCAGATATATCTATCATCAATGTGAACTGGGCCAAGAAACCTACCAGCAATGCAACTCCTGCAACAATCATTATTCTGCTAATCTGTAGGTAAATGGCTACATTCTATGACACAGCTGCAACTCAGTAATTCCTGTGTAAATTGCAGTAGTTTAACTGAGAGATGACAAAGATATAAATAAGCCTTGGCATCTCTAGACCATGCAAGAATGCAACTGGAATACCAAACAAAGATTCTGAAAGGATTTTAGGTCACAGCTGCTATCTCCTATTCCACAAGGAACCATGCATCCAAGAAGACCTCAGATTACAGATCTACTTCGGCAAAAATCAATTGTATTAGAATACATGGAAGAGTTCATGGATTCTGTACCAACAAAAGCTCTGTCTTGCTGCAGTTAACTCCAAATCTACTACCTCATTCATTCTCTTATAGCCTCCAGGATAAAGACCTAAAACTAGATATCATCAGCATGTTATGAAACGTAACTGCAACATAATGAATAATCTCTCCACTGGGTTGGTTTAGATACTAAATAAAATAGGCAATGGAGCTGAATCTTTGAGCAGCTCCTACTGGAAGCTCAAGGTGATACTCTATCAAAACTGATTAGAAGCACATTAAGGAATAAGCAAAACCGGTATAAGACTAAGGTTTGATCCCCAAGCCATACTGATGGTCCAAAATTATACCAAGGACGATGATACTGAATGCTGAGAAATGTAACAAGTCATGTATAAGAGTAGCTGATGCAGTTTCCCTCCCAGCCCCAAGTATAAACCCAAATGGAAAAAATCCAGACCATTTCATCTAGGAACTTGTATACTTAACTCCAACCACTTCATCCACCTTATTAAAAAGGGTATCTGCCAGAAATTATTTAGGGCAACCAAGTGAATGATGGCTTGAGAAGAAGTTATGCTACCACCTTTTTCAAGGCTGGTATGATCTCCTTCCTCAAGAAGACGTTCATCCTCTGTATCAATATCTTAATTCCTTTTCTGGCCACATATATCAGGCAGGAAGAGCAGTGATTTAATTTGCAGGCACCTGAGCTTATCCCACAGAGGAACCAGTATGCTTCCTCATGAGGTAGAGGCTTGAAGGAATCCCAGATGACCTTGCAAGATGTTAGGCCTGACATCTCATGAGATCATGCCCATGACAACATGTTTTGATAATTATTCCATTTTTAAATACATTAGTATAAAAGTAAATTCTATTAAATTCAAGATGTCTTAACATTTCAACTTGACAACATTTTCCTTATTGTGATACATGAGTCATATTTTAAAGGCCATGTAATAATATGTGCCTGTCTACAGAAAGTAATGTTTACCATAACTGAAAGCCTATTCTAGATGACATTCAACATTCATATTCAGAACTAAAAATATAAGCCAAAATTGTACTGTACTGATCTGTCACAGTTGGGAAACATCTAAACACTTGATCTATTATGTTTTGAGCTTCAGAAGCTTTCAGACAAATTGGAATTGATTCAAAGAAAGGCTAAAAGACAATTGCTAAGAAACTATGTGCTAAATCCTATAAAAAACCGAGAAAAATGGGCACATCCACCTCTCAGAAAAATAACGGGGTGATGCAATTTATTGTTTACTGTGGCAGAATGCAATACCACAATAAGGATCTTAAGTAATAGGAAGCAGATTCCAATTAAGGAAACCATCCTGCAGTAAAAGAAGTAGAATGAACTGAGTAGTGAAATTGCATTAGATGTGTTCAACCTAAGGATGGACTGGAGAATTCTGTCAGGGCTCTTTAATTTGTATTCCTACACAAAGTAGAGACTGAATGTAATCTTATACATGACACTTAGCAGCTGTAAAGGCAAGCAATTAGAAAGATAATTGAAGACATTTAATTCATTTTACCTGCCCTTGAGTGATTCAGTATTTACTATGCTTGTAATACAAAAGTGAGGGCAAGTGTTACTACCATTTAAAACTCTGGCAATTGTAGCTCACATATATATTCATTTATATTGTAGTCTTCACAGTATGTTAAGCTACTTACAAAATGGCTGCTATAATAAATGATAAAACACATCATTTATTATACATAAATCTGGGAAATGTTGCTTCTTTTTCTCTTCTTTCTACCTATTCTTTACTCGCTAATCTTTTGATGAACATTTCCAAAAAAAACAGCACATCATCTTTCATTTCTTAAAGAACATCTAACTACCTGAAATAGCCTGTGCTATTTTTCTTTCTATAATGCTTTCTATAATGATTTTTAGCAAGTTGCAGAAAGCTATTTTCTTCTACTTTAAACCACTACACTAACTGTGATTTCATTTCATCTCTTTTTCAAGAAATCTAAGTAGCAATAAGCTAAAATGAAGTGCAATTTCATATGGAGAATGTCATGGCTGCATCTGCAATCTCAGGTGTTACTATTTCAAGGCATCCTTTTCCATTAGAACTAGATCTGAAGCATCTGTCCGACTATTAAATAGGATGTTCGTTCAATAGATAATACTATGTTTAGTCCAATATATACACTTTCACTATTGATTGTAGAAAGTTTTAACTCTGCAATTCTAGAGTTATGGTCCACATAACAGTTTAGTTGGTATTCAAGGAACAGGTAGAATATGTTTGAGATTCTAACAACACAATTCTATCCATGTATATTTTAGAAGTCTGTCATGCTGAATTTAACAGTATTTGCACTTCTAAATAAGTAGCAGGTTTAGGAGAGCAAAGGGAGAGAACAGTAGAGTTACCTTGCCTTTTTATAGTAGACTGAAAAAGCTTTGGACTTTGGGGCCAATGTTTATGGTTCTGAACAGAATTCAACTTTTACATTGATTATCAATCAACTGGCAAACGTTTCTGCAAATATATCCAATAACTTATATTTTTAAATAAAACACTGATTCATTACCACACAATATATAAGCAGAGAAACTACGAAAGAGATGTATCAATGTATTCCTTTCTAGTGTAAACTTTTAAGATGTTATGACAAAATCCATGCTTTAGCTATCATTTTCATATAATTTGTCTCTAATAGTGTTAAAAAGATGAAGTCTGTAAAATTTTTTATACATTTGATGAAGTGTAATTCTTTAGGCACTTTCATTATACCTTAACTTGTACTTGAAAAATAATGGGTACAGAATAATTGGGGTAAATGAACATGTTAACTTTTTCTGTTCAATTATGTCAGATTTTCAGAAACTGGCTGGACAATTCCCTGAAGTTTCCTTGGCAAGGTTTTTTCCAAAAGTGGTTTGCCTTCTTCCTAGAGCTAAAAAAAATGTGACTAGTCCAAGATCAGCCAGCTGGATTTGTGCCCAAGGCAGAACTAGAACTCTCCCAGTTTCTATCCTCATGCCTTAGCCACTATACCAAGCTGCCTCTCTGCAACAGAGTAAAAATATAAAAAAGCACATACGATTAATCAATCTACCCAAAAATGGATGTCCCTAAGCAACTAAGATTAAAAACAAAAAACCCTAGTGGAATATCATTGCTTTAACAATTTTATGTAGGGGATGGTACTTCATGAACCTGGGGACTGGGCAAAGAATTCCAAAGTGCTGGGAGGCACATCACGGTGCCCAATATTAAATCCTGAAAGGTCTGTACTTATCAAGAAAGAAAATTTCAAGTTAAGAGATAGTGAAATCTGCCTGGCCTTCATTCAGTATATACGACAACTTGCTTCTCCAACCATCTAGAAAAAATCAAAATATGCACACGTACACATTCACTTTTCAGAGTGGATGGCATATAAATTTATTATATTGTGTATGCGTGTAATGTTTTATATATATATCTAAAATATAATTAATTAGTATGTATGTGTGTGTGTGTGTGTGTATATATATATATATATATATATATATATATATATATATATATATATATATATATATATAATTGTGCATACATATCTATGTATGTTTGTGTCTGTGTGTATACATGTACACATACACACTTATACATATATGTTTATGTATAAATGAAATCAGCTGAAGCTGAAATTACACTATTTCCTAACCAGCCTCCTTACAAACATGTTGGGCTGCAACTCCCATCATCATAAGGCAACATGTTCTATTTTATCCTGTCCATAGGGACCTGGAGAAGGATAAGCAGGGGAGGAGCAAATAACACATGCAACATGATGTCAGCAAGCAAATTGCAGAATTTATATACTTGACTGGATGGCATTTCATCCTTCATATAATAACACATGCTGTTATTTTAACACCATGTGCTTTGTTGTAGATGCCATGGTAGGGTCTTGGTTGGGGGGAAATGACTTTACTACTCTTCATTACAAATCATTCAAGGATTTTAAAATCACTAGTGCAGATCAAGCAGACTAGGAGCTGAGGAAGGCCTCTTGAAACTTTAGTCATTGTCAAGAGCAGCTTTCCCCTACCTGGATGCTCCCCAGGATGTTCACAATTTCAGCTCCCATACAACCCAGCCAAGCAAGGCATTGAATTCTTGCTAATGGGGTAAACTTAACCCATCATACCTGGGAGGCAGCACTTGGGGAGAAAGTTGCTACAGGATCACCAGTAAACCTACCAGCCCCTTCAGGCAAGAGCAGTAAGAAGGGGAGAAAAAAAAGTCATCCTAAGACAGTAATGGCGAACCTTTTCGGCACTGAGTGCCCAAACTGGAACGTGCATGCAGAGCGCCAGAAACCCGAAGGCCAGTTGCCCTGCATGCACATGCTTGTTTTTTGGGCGGTTTCTGGCCATTTTCCGGGCTGTCTTCAGGCCATTTTTCAGGCCATTTTTCAGGCCGTTTTCTGGCATGCCGGAAACCAGAAGAGCAGCTGGTGACGGCACGCGTACCCAGAGAGGACTCTGCATGCCACCTCTGGCATACACGCCATAGGTTCGCCATCACGACTCTAAGAAATGTGCAATTCTGGCCAAGAAAGTATGGAAAAACGCACTTCCTAAGAGAGAGAGAAAAAGACCATGGATGGATGAGAGGAAGCAATTAGCTGAAAGGCAGATTCAATGGTGTGTGTGTGTGTGTGTGTGTGTGTAGTGGGGGGCTGATGGCTGTAACTGACATCTCCATCCTCTCCTACCTGTCTCAGAAAAAGAGGACTAGCCATTGTGGGAGGTGGGGATGGAAGGACCCCCCCTCAAATCAGAGGGGATCAAAAAAAGAAGGAGCTAGTCTCCTCTTCCTCCCCCCTTAGGAGGGTCTCTGAATCCGCCTTCCCGGAAAGGAGACCCCCCCCACCTCACCCCTCCCTTGACCCGCTTGGGCGGCCCCAGAGCCACAGTAGGGCCTGTCCCGCTGGCAGATCCGGTACCTGCTGATTTTACATTTCTTGAGGCCCGACTCGTCGCCCGCCTGCCCCGAAGATTTGCGTTTTTTTTTCACGGGCATCTCCTCTGTTCACCGTAGAGCGCAGCGAGCGAGAGACGAGGGGAGCCAGGCCCTCCAGCGTGCCCCCCCCTCCTCTTCCCGGGTGATGAGAGCGACCGCCGCCGCCTCTTCCGTCCTCGGCTGTAGCTGCCGCCGCGCAGCGCTTCAGTTCTCCGGCCCCTTTGCCTTTTCCCTCGGCTCGGCTGATGCTGCTACCGCCGGGGTGCCGCCAGGGCAAGCGCGGGATGGGGGTGTCACACGGACCGTTCGGGCGCTGAGGTAGAAAGCAGCCGCGGCGGCGACGGCGGCGGGGAAAAGCCGGCAAAGCGCAGATGAGTCGCGAGCGCGTTGCGCCGCCCTGACACGAAGAGGCGGGAGCAGGAAGTGACAGCGACGCGCCTCCGCCGCCGCCCCCTTCGACTGGCACCCGCTCGCCCCGCCTCCTCCAGGGCGGAGCTAAGAGACGGCGCCGACGCGGGGATTAGCCCCGCCTTCCGGGAGCGTTTGCACGCGTCACTGGAAAGAGGTTGTGACGTGGATGGAGGCGGCCGGGGATGGGGGCGCCGTCAATTTCTCCCTGGGGTGGTTCGCTTTCCCCAGACGGGCGTGATCGGGCACCGTCCTGCCTTATTCGGGAGAGGATTTTTCGGAAGTCAAAGGGAACTACAGTTCTCGATTTACAACAGTGGTCCCCAAACTTGGCAACTTTTAAAACTGGTAGACTTCAACTCCCAGAATTCTCCAGCTGTGCTGGCTGGAGAATTCTGGGAGTTGAAGTCCACCAGTCTTAAAAGTTGCCATGTTTGAAGATCTCTGACTTACAGCATTATCCTTCACAGTTACACGTGGGCTGAAAAGAAAGTGACTTTAGGACCATTTTTTCACTCTTCCAACCATTGCAGCATCCCCATGGAAATGTGATTTGCATTTGGATGCTTGACAACTGAACACATTTACTCCCAGGGTTGTGTGATCCCCTTTTGTGAATTTCTGACTGGCAAACTCAATGGGGAAACCAGATTCCCCTGTGTTATTAATTTAACCGTCGTGATTCACTTAACAAATGTGTCCAGAAAAGTCATAAATTGGAGCAAAACTCACTTAGCCACATAGGTTTTGGGCTCATATGTGGTCCTACATTGAGGACTACCTGTGTTCCCAGCTACTGATTGGGTTTTCATCTCATGCCCAGCCATGGTTAGCGTGTTTGGTTTATTTCTAACTAAACTATACTTTGCTGAGCCTGCAAAAATTAAGTTATGCTTTAAATAGTTGGAGGTCAAAGTATGTAAACCATATGATGGAAGCTGAATCCCATTTATAGCATTGTTACTTTTAATATGGTATACAGTCGTAAAAATATACATGTCTTTTGATTTGTATGCCACCCAGAGTTACATGCCCAGAATTTTAGAAAATGCTTAATTTATTTTCTTTTAAAACATATTGTTGGGCGAGACATTTTCACTCAACTCTAGAAAGAGGGCAAGGGTAAAATCACTTCTGAAAATATTGCCTAGAAAACTGCAGGGACTTTTAGTTGCCAGGAGTCAAAATGACCTGGAATCAAAAATAAATAAATGTTGTACTTTTAAGTGTAAAGGAATTTAAAGAGGCCATTGGGGAAGATATGAAAGAACTGTTGAGAAGATGTATGCAGAAAAGACTGTACACAGTTGAGATAGAAGCAACCTTGAGAAAAAAATGATTTTGTTCAGTACAGCATAAGACAGGCAGATAAAAACTTGGCAGGTTTTCAGTATTTTCTTACTTTATTCTACAACAATAAAGTATGCAGCATTCTTGGAATCCCTGCAGTCTTTCCTGACTTGGCCTACCTTGAAAGGCTGACATCAGTGTTTGAAAGCCTGAACAGTGGTGAACAAAATCAAGGCATGCTTTCATCAGTTTTTCCAGTAAAGGAGAATATCAAAATTTCTTTATGGTAAGATAATTAGAGTAATATGAATGGCGAAAGACAAAGGGATTTCTATTATATTATGCTGTATCATTTAGAGTGGTATATATAATAACTCTCCCCAATTTGTTATCCTCCAGATGTATTAAAGGGCGTTCCCATGATACCACACCTGGAATATGACATTTGAAGAGTGATGATTCTAAACAGCATCATGTTGGGACAGGCACTTGTAAGGTCTCAGTGAGAAAAGAATACTTAATTTTTGGATTCAGTTTAAAAGATAGTTAAAAAAACATCAATCTTTTCCTTGATGACAAAACTGTACAAGCATTAAATATAGAAGCAAGATGTCTGGCACACACGGCCACAACCAGTGAGACCCAGGTATACCATATGAATAATGATTTAGGAATAAGCATAAACTTTCAGCTCTATTTACGTCACAGAATTGTTGTGAAGATTAAATCTGAGTACTTCATGTGCACCGCCTCAAGCTGCCATCAGAAAGATTGGTAGCTGAAATAATTAATCCACCACATGTGCTCTCAGGAATGAGTTAAGGTGTTGTGGGGTTTTGTGTAGGTTGTTATCTGCTGCCTTGAGATCAGGATAAACTGTGGTTTTATCCTCTAATGAAGGAACATAACAAAACAGGACTATATTTTCAGTCAAGTCCCGGTTCAGTGAAGCTTACAACTAATTTCAGAGAACTGTGGCTTTTGTGAAATTAGTGAGCCAAGCATATGATCCATTCCTTGAAAGTCCAACAATGTATTTTTAATAAGTATAATATTAGTGAAGGAGAAAATGGAAGCAAACTGGAAGTTCATTTATGATATAGGGCACCAAACAGATTTCTACCCAGCTTATATTCCGTATATTTCCTGAAATGCAGCACAGAGTCCTTCACCAGTAACTGGCCGTTGCTGAGTTGCATAGTTCAACCATCTGTAGACTCAACAGATCCTCCATGGAGTCCAGCAACCTTTTCCAGACCAAGGGTCTCCAACCTTAGCAACTTTAAGATTTGTGGACTTCAACTCCCAGAATTCCTCAGGCAGCTTTGCTGCCTGAGAAATTCTGGGAGTTGAAGTCCACAAGTCTTAAAGTTGCCAAGGTTGGAGACCCCCGCCCAGGCAGTCAGCGCTCCCGCCGCATCCACTCAAAGCGAAGCATGAGTTACGCGCTTAGCGATTACCTATCACACCGATTGGACTTTACTGTATTCCAGGGCTGTGGAGAAGTGGATGCGGGTCGCTTGATACACCCTTAAGGAACGCGTCTTAGCATTAGGCGGCGTCGGCCATTTTGGTTGCCCCTAGTTACCGGGCCTAGCAACGCCGCTCGCCGGGTAGCTCTGAGAAATCAAAACAGGCGTTTCTTCCTTATCTTTCGCGGCAGGCCGGTATATCGTTGCCGCCGGTATAGAACAGCAGCTCTTCAAACAAAATAGACCCTCATAAAAAAGTTCTTGTCTTTTTTTTTTTAAATGGGAAGCGAGCGTCTTTCCGTTTTTCTTCGCGCTACCGCTTCATCTCAGGTCCTCCTCTTGATCTTGGCCGTTGCGTTTTCTCTTCACTTTCTTCCCTAAAACAAATGTCCTTAAACTCTTCTGTTTTTTTTTTTTCTGGGAACGGGGGAGACGGGCGGACGACTTGGTTAAAAAGCGGCGTTTCCAGGACTTGTCTCCGGTCTCCGACCTAGGCGGAGCTCCGGAGTCGCGACTGTCATGCCTCTCGATGGGGACGGCGATGGCGACAAGAGGAAGATTTTCATTTCGGCCACTGCCGGCAACTACTTTGGGCTGTCGTCGTATGGGAGCCTGGCACCCCTCTCTGCCAGTCCCGAACTGGCCAACTTTTTGGATGATGGCAACGAATATCTTCTCTGTGTGCAGCACTCGGAAGACCAGATATCGGTCTCAAACAAGGTACTGTGACGTCCTTTTTAATTATATTATTATCAGAGTTAGATATTTATTCCATCTTTTATTTATTAATATATTGTTTGTGTATGTGTGTGTATATGTGTGTGTGTATCACACACATATACGTGTGTTTGTGTATGTATGATCTATATTATCTCTATTTCTCTATATATCATATATAATATAGATTCTATATCATTTCTATCATCTCTATCTCAATATCTCAGGGGCTGACACAAAGAAGAGGGAGTCAAGTTATTCGCCAGGGCACCCGAGTGTAGAACAAGAAGTGATAGGTGGAAACTAATCAAGAAGAGAAGCAATTTAGAACTAAGGAGAAATTTTCTGACAGTTAGAACAATTAATCAGTGGAACAACCTGCATCTAGAAGGTGTAAATGCTTCACCGCTAGAAGTTTTTAAGAAGATGTTGGATATGCATTTGTCTGAAGTGTGGAGGGTTTCCTGCCTAAACCGGGTTGGACCAAAAGATCTCCAAGGTCCCTTCCAACTCTATTCTATTCTATTCTATTCTATTCTATTCTATTCT